AGCACGGATTCAACGTATCATTAGGAAAAGAGCAAAACCAAAGAGCGAAGGTAATTTCAACAAAATGGAACTCTGTCCCGATCAACGCAAATCAATTACCGCCAATCATTGTGCAATAAATCTGGGGAAGTACAGGGGTTGAGATTGCAAAAGGTGGTAGTTTGAAAGTCACATATCCTGTCTATAATCCTCAGATCGTTATTTAAATTATTTTGAATAATTCTTTTATGGTATATTTGGATGTGATATTCGTGTGTATGAGGTTGGAGAAATTTGTCTATATAGTTACGTCCATTAGATTCATTACGCTTAGTGAACATGTGACTCCCCTAAAACTCCCAGGAAAGTAATGCGAACAGTGACGTTAAGAATCAGCCACATATTCGCAAATCCTATTGGATGGCAATCTCCACGCCACGACCATATGCCCTTCAGACCTACGTAGAATTGCCTGCCCGCGTAAAGCGTATCACCCTTTGATCACAACCCGGTGATTTGTACTTTCCACTGTGAAGGTTATCGTCTTCATGTGCATATCGGGTCGAAACTTGGAGTTTGGGCTACCCGGGGTTAAAAGGAGATCAAAGGGAAACTCATCCACTAACATTTTGCCCCCCCGCCACAATCATCAGCACAATTACTGTTATAGTGTGTGGCAAGAGGTTGTTTGAGTTTCAGTTGCTGACTCGTTAACTTCCCATGCACTAACCCATCCCTTCAAATAACTGAGCTTAGTCCATCTGTACTACCCCTTCTCACCACCATCAGTATGTACTTTTATTTCGGTAAATTGTTTTACTCGACCAGATTCGGTATGAGATGCGGACTCAGTTCGATGCACGGGTAGAAGCATTCATGTGTGTGTGTGTAATTGTATCAATTGTCTATCGAATTCCAATTTTGTCAGTTTCACCAAAGGGAGAGGAGTGTGGCCTCAGAGCCTATGCAGAGTGTAAGAGAGAAAAAGCTGCTTGCCAATGAAAGAGATCACAGCACTTTTTGGGGCACAGGTTAATATAATCTCGAATTCGTGGGTTGGTGGGAATCAAATTGTTCCATTTTTGAGATTCACAAATTCCACGACAAAAGCAACACATTATTGAGCACTCCTTATTCGAACTCATCTCGTTCTGAGGAAACACATGTGAATGATGTATTCAGAAATTAAAGAACTCTGAGTTGAATTCAATAACCAGAAGCTACAGCCTTTCGAATTCTCAAGATGTATGCCGTGTATATTAGGGACAGAAAATTGCGCCAATATTCCGGGTGGAGAAAGCAGTCCACGAGAGAGTTGCCATATGATACAAAGAATTGTGAATGGCAGTCCACGACTGTCGAAAATAGGCAAAACAATGTATGAGTTAGTAGCTGTAGTACGTTATCCTGTGACGTGCACTAAATGATTTAGCATGAATGACCGATCTTATTTGGTTAACTTGTATTTGCTTTCAAACTGTGTCTTGAGCAGATCATTGTTTTATTTGTAGATGCGATGGTGTTAGATTGTCGAAATCAAAACAATTGGTTTGCTTATGGATTCATAAACGGAATGTGCGTCTAACTACAGGCAACTGACAACGAGTGAATGTCGAAACTTGCGGCCAGTGGTTGTCCGACCAAAAGAAGCGTAACTCTAAAATACGTGATTCACATGTCCAAGGTACCCAAAACACTTTATCGACCGGTTGGATTGGTAACTCTGGTGCCCTGAAGCTCCGTTGAAGGCCTACTGTTGACAGTTTGTATTCGAGGTTCTGTCGATTGCTTAGTTGCGGATAATTGCTTTTCATACTCTTGTTTTGGGGTAAAACACCTTTACAGTCTCAATAGATTCGGGGAGACTAGCGCCGGGGCTCTACGAATTTATTGCATTGTGGGCAAGATGCAGGAACCCATGCAGTTTTGTCTTCTTAAAACTTATGTCCTCTCCGGTGCAGACGAGGTCAAACCAGTTTCAGTTTGGACGACTCAAAACTACAGAAGGGCATATTTTCTTAAGATGTTGACACTCAAACAAAGGAAGCGTTACGGATACACTCGTGATTTTCCATGCTTAGTCCCAGACACAGTCTGCGTGTTTTCGTTCTATAGCTAAAATTGTTGTGCGAAGGCGAACAACGAGCATTGCACAACTGGCTCTTCTTTTTGTTTGTATTCATCAGCGGTGTGTGTGTGTGTGCTATCTCTGAGTTTCTGAAGAATGTTTTGACTGATTCCAAATCGATGTATAGGTTTATGCTATATCAGAAAACTAAAATTCCTCAATGTATGTTTGTCCTTCTTGGGACACAAAAGTTTTACCTCTGGAGCACTTACCTTTATCGAAAAAATGAATATCCAACTGTATGAGGTAAGTTCAGTTTGGAAATCTTTCCCTTTGTGCGTGGGCATCTAGTTGAGATACAAATTTGAATAGTACAAGTAGAAGTGAAGTGAAGCTGAAGTTCTTTGTTTGGGGATACGTGACAGTGGTTCGAAATGTCTTTGGAAGCTGGCAATAAATCATGATATTTTACTTGAGCACCCTTATACATAACATAGCAGGTTGATTGATCGTCGTAAGACCACATCTTATTTGTTTGTAATCCACAGCCTTCATACAAAGGCTCGTAACTTGAAACACCTTTACAGATAACACAACAACGGCCAGAGTCATCAATCACTAAAGGTATAAGGCGCGCTTACTCTTAAATTCGTTTCACCCGGAAAATGTTACCAATGGTGGCTGGATCCAGTTTCACAACATATGCACCAACATATGTAATTTATTTCTTTACCGCAAAACCATTTCCCCCGGAAAGGGGATTATTTTTACTTTACTTTTTGTCTGGGAATCACGTTATTGCGGGATATGCTCGGTGTTCTTAGTGAAGTTTGTTAGACTAATAAACAGTATTGTTCAAATAGGGTCGCATTAAATTAGAATTCTTTCTTTAAAATAAAAAACAAACAAACAGAAGCGATATCCGGCATGAGGACTCGTTCGGTGTATTCAAGATCGACTAGAGCCGATTGGTATGTAGAAAGATTTTACAAGCAGACTTCAGATTCTTTTAAGAGCATTATTTGGAAACAAAGTTGTTCAGATCAGAACATGTAGCTCATTCTAAGTGAGTCACTGAAACCCGTTAACCACCCGACAGACTATATTCAATTTAAGTGATACGAAAATCCGATCTATGAAATGTCACTCAACAGTAGGGAACAGAGTAACTATATCACCTTACTTTCTCTTTCTTAAGGAGGGGAAAAACTTAGATGGTGAATGCTTAGATTAGCCCATTCGGTTTTTCACAGGCACCAGGCACTGTTGATGATGTTGATTTGGGTTTCACTCCCTGGCAGATCGTCAGCAGCAGCAGCACCTGGTGCCAGAGAAAAAACGAAAGGGCTAATCCAAACATTCACTATCTAAATTGATTGAGTCATTCGCCTAAGGTGAAAACCGTTAATCGTGTAGCTCAAGAGCAAAGGTTTCAAGTCCCAGGGACACAAAGAGTATGCACTGTTGACGAGTCCCAAACAGGACGAAACAGATGTCCAGTGCTGTTTGTCAGTTATCACAAACATTTCCATCGCATTTAAATGAGAAGCAAAATAATAGAGAATATTGGTTATTAACTGGGTAATTATCGTGAAATAATTTAGTAATTTGTCCTCCTCTTGGGTGGCTGATTATAGCACCAAAACTTGAGGTGTACAACAGATATCAGAGATAATTAGTCCGGTAACACTTCCTCTTTGAACTCACCTCAGATTTTACCGGTTACATTTAAAGTCCACCTGTTGAATATTGAGAATGGTCGACACTGACATGTTTTGTTAAGTCTGCCGGTATCTTTAGTTCCAACTTGCAGCAACTTCCGCGGGTGAAGACATTCAATAGTGTTTATTCATCCGGGTTCGGGGTACTTACTGTGTGCCGAATACTTTCTAATGGCGTCAGGAGGCGGATGCAGTTGCTCCTGCTGACCACCATTACCAGCGTACGACAATGGTATTTAGCGTCAAGGATTATAACGAAATTTATTTTGATCTTATCTAGCCAAAAGCTTCTTCCTATTGACCTGTTTGTTAACCATCCGGGTTGGCCGATCATAGACTAATAGTCGATCATGAGGGCGAAAGCTATCGCAAATCAGTACCAATTGTATTTAGTCTGAGTAAACTGATTGACTGCCACGATCATCACCATCTACTCAGTCGTGCAGACTGATGGATTCTTTCCTGACTTTCACGCCCACTTGTTTCGGGAAGACCGCGCGCCAGCTGCTCCGAAAAGGGAAACCTTTGCTAAAAAAACAAGTTGGAACAACATGCTTGGCTCCTAATTATCACTTAGCTTTGTGACATGTTCCAGATTTGTTACCGCGCGAATCGTTCAAGTGTGCACTTGTGCAAGAAACATGCAAACCAGGAACGCAATAAGATAGCTAAATAAACGCTATTCGGGGTTATC